ATTACTGACAAATCCCCAGATGATGCTGATCGTGCTGGTCCAGAGACCACAGTTTGAGAAACATTGATTTTAAAAATAAGTACTCTTAAATAACAGAGATTGCCTAACCTAAGGGATTAGAGTTGGCGCTGTAGTTGTTCATACAGTTAACCCTTAAACAGTAACAAATATCAACAGTACTTCTTCAAAATAGACTTGCCCAGGTCAAAAACCGGCTTCTGCACATGGGCCACGAAGTTTCAATCTCACTGTATGTGCGCCCGCACGTGGTATTTTGTGGAAGAGCCACACTCAAGGGGCCAAAAAAACTCATGTGGTCATGAGTTTTAGTTTACCGACCGCAGCACGAGGCTGTCATAAAGCAATCATATTGCTGCTTCTTCATTATCAATAAGTGAATCATTATATTTGTAAACAGATGAATTTTTTGTTCATATTTTTTTCATATTTGATGTCTAGTGTTAGTAATATGTGTAACATCTACAGTGTTTTGTATCATATAAAACAATATTGATGTAGATACTGACAGTTGACTCATTTCATAAATAGATGATGTAAAATTATGGTATTGATAAATATATATGGTACTCTAAATGTATTAGCCTTATGATTTTTTATAACATTTTCTTTTCTCTAGCTTACTTTACTGTAAAAATACAATATATAATACATATAACATGTAAAATATGTGTTAATTGACTGTTTATGTTATTGATAAGGTTTCTGATCAGCAGTAGGTCATTAGTTGTTATGTTTTGGGGAAGTCAAAAGTTATACAGATTTTTGACTGTGTGGTGGCTCAACAACCCTAACCCTCACATTGTTCAAGGGTCAACTGTGTATGTGTGTGTGCGCGCACGCAATGTGATATGCTAGTGATGTGATATGCTGTAGTAGAGATAGGACAGTGTTATAGTATTACTAGAGGCCTGATGCACGAAATTTGTGCATGGATAGGGTCCCTAGGCCTGGCCAGCGATCAGGGCTGATCTGTGGGGCAACTGGCGGGGCAATCGGGGTCCCCGCTCACACCCGCCTTGGCTGGCCTGGTGCCACCCCCTTGTCAGCCCCACCCCCCCAGAGGGGGGATCAGGGGCCCCTGCTGGCACCTGCCTTGGCCTGCCTGGCACTGCCTGCTCACCAGTCCCGCTGCCGCTGCTAGTCACCTCCCTATGGGGGGGAGTCCACTGGCACCCACCTTGGCTGGCCTGGGGGCAGCTCCTGCATTGAGTGTCTGCCCCCTGGTGGTCAGTGCACGGCATAGCAACCTGTCATTCCACCCGTCATTCTGCTGTTTGGTCGATTTGCATATTAGGCTTTTATATAGGATAATAAAAGTTATATAATGGTCTTCCAGAAATATAGAAGAAAAGGAGATTGATTTGAGCACTTCAGAGGGAGGGAATGGCAGAACTACTTGAAGAAATATTTAGTCTGGTCATTGAAATAAGATGAAATTTCAACAGTGAGAACTGGAATAAGGGAATTTCAGAAAGGAAGAGGGATGATAAGTTAAAGACCCAGAAATGAGAATATGGGGGATGATGGGTAGTTTGAATGGAGCAGATTAGCTAGACACAATTAGAGGATAAAGCGTCTCATTTGTCAGTGTTAGGTGATGGTTTCTGAATGAAAAAGTGACATCATCAGAATTCTACTTTGAGATTTCTAGAGCAAGAATGTAAAGGATTGATTCCAACATGGTGGATGGCAGGACTGAATTGGGGAGAGAGAGACCGATCGCACAGGAGTCTTAGTGGCAGTGGTTCAGGTTTTCCTAGCCAAAGAGCCCCTGCTACTGACACAGACACTCCCCAGGCAGGGCTCGTGCTTGGAAACCACACCATCTTAAAGGTTTGCAAGGTCCTTCTTGGGAGGAGGCTGCAGGGAGCAGCAGCCGCTAGGCCCCTAGCCTTGCCTCCACCCAGAGTAGCCATGCCCCATGCCTGAACCCACAGGCACCGCCAAGGACACATCCCAGACCCCGTGCACCTGCCACAGATGCCACCCAGACTGCGCAGCCAAGGGGAAGCCAGTGGGACCTCTCAGGCCTTCAGTTGATACCTGCAGGACCAGCTCTGTGGGGGAAGGGCGTACAGCTCAGAACAGGTACAATCCAGGTCAAGGCACACCCAGCCTCTGGGCTAAGGAGTCCACACCCGCTGGACTATTAGGACCCTCAACCTCTTAGACCTCAATCAGGTTTCCCAGGGCCAGAAAGAGACAGAGACTCATATTGACCTGCACCAGAGCAGCTTCCAGACGGCCCAGGATAGACACAGCAAGGGACCAGATTCAACATCAGAGGAAAATCCACAAATAGCGGACCCAAAGGTTTTTGAGTGTGTGAGTGTGTGTGGTTTTGTTTTTTGGTGAGTGGATTTTTTTGTGTTTGTTTTTTCCCCTTTTATTTTCTTCTTGTTTTTCTTGCAAATCTCTAATTTCTCTCTTTCCTTTGATTCTATTCTACTTCAGTCTAATCTTACTGTTATTATTAATTTTTATTACTTTGTTTTTATTTTTTCTCATTTTTTCCCATTTTACTTTTACTTATCTATATCTTAACATACCCATTATTACTTGGTTTTAAAATCACCATTATCATTTCATTTATTTTCCGTTTCTTTTTTTCCTCCTATACTAGTTCTTTTAGCTTCCTTCTTGCATCCATATAGCCATTTTTTCATTGTCTTCTTTCTCCCTTTTTTTTTAAATATCCCCTCTAAGTCTTTGGTCACCTGTCTTTTAGTATTCTTTTTATTTTTTCTTTGCTTTGCTTCCTCTTCTTTTTTCTTCTTAGTCTTTTCTGTTATTGCATTGAGTAGCTTAGCTTAATTTTTGTGGTGTTTTTGGTTTGGTCCTGTTGTGTCTTATCCTGTTCTGTCAGCACCTATATAATAGCTGGTACAACGGTATAGAGGTTGAACTTCACTGGCAGCAAGTCAGAAGGGATCCCTCCCACAAATGGGACATCAACCATCAAGTCCCAATTATAACAGGAGAGCCCAAATAACATACACAAGGGGCATTCCTAGAGTATCCAGTTCAGGTGTACAAAGCAACTGCACCACTGGGCCCCTCGACACTTTATACATAAGGCCATCCCACAAAGACTGGGAGGCATAACAGTTCTATCTAATACATAGAAGCAAATACACAGAGATAGCTAAAATGGAGAGACAAAGAAACAACCCCCAAATGAAAGAAAAGGAATTTTTTCTAAAGAACTGCTTTAAGTACAACCCTCGTAACACAAGTGATGCAAAAGCAACCTATCAGACATAGAGTTCAAAGTAATAGTTATAAAGGTGCTTAAGGAGCTTAATGCGAATTACAAGGAACTCAGTGAGAATTGTAGCAGTGTATAAAAGGAAATAGAAACCATTAACCAGAACCAGACAGAAGTGAACAATAACATATCTGACATCAAGAACACCACTTGGCTCAGTAATAAACAATATTTACATAGATTTTTTAAAAAGAATATAAAGTATTCATTAACAATGAGTAGCATCTTACAAAATTTAATCTCAGTTTGACTATTTTTTAAGATTTTTTTAAATTGATTTTTAGAGAGAGAAGAAGGGAGAGAGAGAGAAACGTCAATTTAAGAGGGAAACATCGATTGGCTGCCTCAGGCAGGCCCCTGCTGGTGATCAAGCCTGCAACTCAGGCATGTGCCCTGACTGGGAATTGAACTGGCAACCTTTTGGCACATGGGACAACACCCAACCAACTGGCCATATCAGCCAGCGCTCATTTTGACTCTTAACTCATTTTTCCTGAGTAGTTCTTGTGCTGACTTAAGTTTTGTTGCATACATGTTTTTCTTTATTACAAATGCAGTAATATAATTAAAGAAATATTTTAATATGTTTTTATTGATAGTTTAGAGAGAAATAGAGAAGGATAGAGAGAGAGAAACATCCATCACCTGCCTCCTGCATCCCCCCTCACTGGGAATAAAGCCCAAACTTGGGCATGTGTTCTGACTGGAAATGGAACAAGGGACCTTCTGGTTCATGGGTCAATGCTCAACCACTGAGCCACACTGGCCAGGCTAAAGAAATTTTTATAGATACATGTATGTAAGTATATATAAAGAGAGACAGAGAAAGCACACAAAACCATAATTTTTCTCACAAAAACTTTTTATAGTATCAAATAGGCTTCTACAGCATTAAATGACTGAAATGTATTATATGGTTTTAATGAAATAATAGAATTCAGTGGTTAACACAGTTGCTTTTCATGAAAAACCTTCATTTATTTGACCACTTATCTCTGATAAACTTTTTATAGGAGTGATAATATTTGAATTATCTTACAGGTTCCAGACTATTATGACATCATCAAAAAACCCATTGCCTTAAATATAATTCGTGAAAAGGTGAACAAATGTGAATATAAATTAGCATGTAAGTAATTTGTATGTTTATCTTTTTGTTTAAAGAGGTAGAGGCTATTTTTCTTTTTACCTTTATGATAAATTAATGTAATTGTGTAGATGACATCCCAAGAGGTCTCTCAAATGCTTGTCCATGTATATGGAAATGAAAGACGGGTGAGGATTAAGTGAGTTAAAGATATTTTAAAGACTCTGATCTTAACAGAAGTTACTTACTGAAACTATGCAGTTATGCCTAATTGCATAGTTTCAATAAAACAGTTTTAAAGTATTTGTAGTTAGAGTTTTAAACTTTGGTTCTACTACCTTGTTTCCAATTTCTAAAGAAAAAGGTGGGCTTCTGTTCCTTAATGACATTTCTAGATATGATACAAATAAAACGTTTAGTTAGAAGTTATAAACTTTCACTCTAATCTCATTTGTGTTTTTCTTTCCAGCTGAGTTTATTGATGATATTGAATTAATGTTTTCGAACTGCTTTGAGTACAACCCTCGTAACACAAGTGAAGCAAAAGCTGGAACAAGGCTTCAAGCATTTTTCCATATTCAGGCTCAAAAACTTGGACTTCACGTCACACCTGGGAATGTGGATCAAGTTAGCACTCCACCAGCTACAAAAAAGTCACGAATCTGATTTTGTCCTTCTAAAGGATATATTTGAGGAAAACAAATTATTCGTGAAATGGAACATTAAATCATGCTACAAAGCAGACATATATGTATAAAGCAATAACAACTGATTGACCACTTTGAAGTGTGGCCTGCACTATATTCTCAATTTTAATATTAAGCACTCAGGAGAATGTAGGAAAGATTTCCTTTGCTACAGTTTTGTTCAGTACCTGATAAGTTTGACAGATGTATTGGATACAGTACTGGTTTACAGAGGTTTTTGTACATTTTGAGATCATTCATGTGTCCCAATATCTTGGAAAATATTTTTTCACCTGTGATTTATTTTGTCATTGATGACTTTTCTTAGACATGTGGTATTAAGAGAGATTTATCTACACAGATAAATCTTCTGTTTATAGCACAGAAAAAAAAAGTGTATATGTCCAAAAATCTTTAATGAGCACATTCTTTCAACACTACACATGAATGAATCTAATTTTATATCCTTGAAGTGCTGGACCAGTGCTGGCTAGAGGTATTAAGTCTGAGTTTATTAACTAGATATTTATTTAGCATTCAGAATTAATTTGTGAATTTGTTTTGTATTTATAAAATTTGTATCTGGAAAATGTTCTTTAATTTTTTAAACGTTTTATTGTTTTTGTTTTATTTCTCTTAACTTCATTAATGAGAATTCAATAAAAGGTAACACCCTTTTCCCTGACAGTTCTTCCAGTTTTACAGAATAAGTTTCTGTGTACAACTTTTTAAGTGTACAAATAAAGTGATACATTTTTTCAAATATTCTGAATTTCTGGAATTTTTACAAATCAGAGTTGGACTTCTATACATGATACATACAGACCATAGGAGCCAATGTTTTACTGTACCTGAATCTTAGGACAGTGGTTTTCTATCCAAGCCCTTTAGGAGTAAGATACCTCCAGTCAGTAACAGTGAACATTCTATGGCAGGGGTTGTCATTAAAAGGAGGAAAGTAAGTTTGGAATGTGCCCACTTCGTTAAAAAATACCACTCTGGCTGGGCTGGTGTGGCTCAGTGGTTGAGCGTTATCCTATGAACCAAAAGGTCATGGTTCAATTCTTGGTCAGGGTACATGCCCAGGTTGATGTTTCTATCTCTCCTCTCTGAAATCAATAAAAATGTATATTTTTAAGGAAAAGAAACACCACTGTGGAAATTTTTTTAAAATGAAACAAAGCGAGAGAAACAAGATGGCAGCATAGGTAAACACCTGTACTCGCTGCCTCCCACAACCACATCAGAATTACAAGTAAAATACAGAACAACCATCACCCAGAACCGCCGGAAAGCTGGCTGAATGGAAGTCCTACAACTAGGGAGGTAAAGAAAAAAGCACACTGAGACTGGTAGGAGGTGCGGAAACACGGAACAGGCTGGTCCAGCACCCAAGTGTGCCACTTTTTTAACCGGGAGGGAGATCACCTCTGCGGAGGCCGGGGTCCCAGCCCCACATCAGACGCCCAGCCCAGGGTCCCAAAGCTGGGAAAAGAAGTCCCTACAGGCGGTAAGAACTACAGACTATAAAAACCATTGCAGATTGGGGCTGAGTGACACAGAGGCTGCTGGAGACCTAGCTGTTCCTCTTAAAAGGCTGGCACCATGAACTGAATTTACAAGCTCCTGCTCCCTCTGAGCTCCAGTGCCGGGCAAGGCTCTGGGGGACACAGACACATAAGGGCAGAAACTGAACTGTCTGGCATTGGAGCAGGAACTCCGCGGTGGCTTTCTTCCAGATGGAGGTGCTAGCATTGTTCCTGTGCTGGGACATCCCTGGTGCAAGGCTGACTGGCAGCCATTTCTGATTGCTTCGCCCTGGTGATTCCCTGAGACCCCACCCCAACTAATTTACAACCCCACCCAAGCTGTGTGCCGC